ATTTATTTTGCATATATATATGCAAAATAAATCATTTACAAAAGTATATAAACATATAAACCATGTTCATGCTAGGTGCTCAGGGAGGTAAGAAGAAGATATTGGAACCACTAGAAATGGAGTTAAAGGTAATTGTGAACCACAGTGTGGGTGCTGGGACCTGATCATGGGTCTCTGCAGGAGTAATAAGTGCTCTTAACCACTGAGCCATCTCTCCAGCCACCTATTGCAGTTTTGTTAAACCTCAACATCTATTTTCATATTGGTTAAAACAGGTTACATTCCCATCAGGACCATTAAGTGTACCTCTCACTGTGATCAGGGTTTGTGGTTGGTTCTCTATACTAGATATATTACAGTATCTGACTTCAAATTGTACTGCATAGTCTTAGTAACACAAACAACTTTGTTTCATTTTTATTACTGGCTGAATAATATTCCATTGTGTAAATAGATTACATTTTCAATATCCTCTCATCTGTTGATAGAAATCTAGGCTTTCTCTGTTTCCTGGCTATTGTGCATAAAACAGCAATGAACACTCACAAGCAAGTATCTCTACAGTAATGCAAGGTCCTTGGTGTATATACCCTAGAGCGGATAATATGGTAGATATAGCATTAGCTTGGTGAGTAATCTCCACTCTCATTTCTATACTAGCTTTACCAGTTTGCATCTCCACCACCAGCAATTAATCATTCCCCTTTCCCCATATCCATGCTGGCATTTGTAATTTTATTTTTTGCCTTAGCCATTCTGGCTGCTATGGGATCTCATAGATGTTTTAATCTAAATTTTCTCCATGGCTAAAGATGTTGAACAGTTTCTTAAGTCTTTCTCAGCCCTTTGTAATTTTTTTTTACAATGAATAATGTTGCAAAACATTTTAAGAAATGAGTATCAGTGTAGCCAAATATAAAAAACGTCAAACACCATTTTATGCCAGGACAAAAACAAAACAAAACAGAATTTTATACACTAAAATTTCCAATATTATAAAAATAGTAAAAAAAATAAATCTAGCAAAGGGTGTCAGTTAGACAGCAGATGAGATGATAAATAAAATGAAGAGAAAGTAATGGTCTCAAGTCAAGTGAGGAAAGCTCATGAGATTTGATTAAAGTCTAGATTATATAAAACAATGGTTATTTCAAGAATGAACACATGAATTTCACCTGGTAGAATAATGCTTGTTCTTTCTTGTTGGCCTGTTAGAGGATTCCAAAGGTAACATGTAATGTTCCGGAAAGAACTGTCTCTAAGGAGAAGAGTTATCTTCACACTGAACAGTTTGTCTCCATCCTGGAACTGGGATTTCGATGCAGCTGGAATGACCTCTCCTCTGCTGTCTCTCCACTCCATGAGAGGCCTTGGGAACCAACCTCCAGACTGACACTCCACTATCACACCTTTGGTAGTTGGAGGATGAACAAGAATCTGAATTCGGGAGCTCCCAGCTGGTTATAAAAAAAAGAGGAACCAGTTGTGTATAGTAAATGGAAAAAGAAAAAGAACACAGTAAGAGAACCACTCCTCCTCCATGTTAACTCCAGTGATTGCAGAGATAATGATATTCAAAACCGTACAGGGCTGCCAATGACAAAACAAATCACTTAAGAGAGAAGGCACCAGAAGGAAAGATGGAGAGGCCATAATGCAATTAGATGCTGTTCTAAATAATTCTGATGAAAAAAGTTCTGTTTATCTAATTTACTTTTCCTTCCAGAAAAATGTTTGCTAGATAATAAATACTAAGTTAAGCCTTTAGATTATACACATCAGCAAATCCATCTAACATTCTATTACTTGTATGATTTATGAGTGAACAATTTTACTATATGTAAATCACTCAATGAATTTCAGAATCAGTCTCTGAGGCATCCATGCTTACCTGTGACCTTGACCTCTGTGATGTGCTCTTCATAGAATTTTCCATCCTTGAAGAGACAGTGGTAGTGCCCATCATCATCAGGATTGACGTTAAAGATCCTGAGGGTCACTTTCCCTTCGTCAATGGCATCTTTCAAGAGTTCTGTTCTCTCCACATATTTGGGGATAATTTCTCCGAAAAGGTCTTTGCCATCTTCATATAGATGAACAGGCTGTGTATAGTGGGACCTGAACCAGCGGATTTCCATGTGCTGGGCATTTTGTGGTGGAGACAGCTGACAGCTGAGCTCAAGTACTGTACCAACTGGAGCCAAGACTGGTTCCTCTAATCCAGTCACTGTGACTCTTTCTGGGAAGAGAAACAAGAACCAAAACATGAGAGGATTAATCAAGCCAGTCCTCTAAGTTGCCTCCTCCCCCAAACACACAAACCTATTTTTACTGTGCGTTAATTTTCTTCAGCATGCCTGAAAACAATCTGATTTTATATTTGACTTCAATGGTGGCTCATCAAACTCTTCTCCTTAAGAAATGTGTGTATTTTTTATTGCGCTAAATGGCTGGCTAAAAGAATTGCCACCAGCTCAGTAGTTGACTCTTCTTTAATTTTATTTCATTCTTTCTCTGAGTGATTCTAGGATTTATTATCCTTTAATTGGAATTAGCCTTTTTGTATGATTTTATGCTTAAGCTTCACATATCTTCATGAAATATTCTTATCTTTGTTTTATTTTTTCATTTCGTATTAAAATTTGTCCTTAAGAATCTACTACGGAACTGAGTGTAGTGGCACTTAGTTTAATCCAAGCACTTGGGAGGTAGAGGCAGGTGGCTCTCTGTAAGTTCGAGACCCACCTGGTCTACAATTTGAGTTCTAAGATAGCCAAGGATGTTATAAAGAGAAACCCTGTCAGAAAGAAAGAAAGAAAGAAAGAAAGAAAGAAAGAAGAAAGGAAGGAAGGAAGAAAGAGAGAGAGAGAAAAGAAAAAAAGAACCCATTACTGCTAAGAAAGAAAGAAAGAAAGGAAGGAAGGAAGGAAGAAAGAAAGAGAGAGAGAAAAGAAAAAGAACCCATTACTGCTAAGAAAGAAAGAAAGAAAAAAGAAAGAAAGAAAGGAAGGAAGGAAGAAAGAAAGAGAGAGAGAGAAAAGAAAAAGAACCCATTACTGCTATTTTTCTAAACTAGTATAACTTCTACCTGCATTCTAAGATATAGTCTCATGTCTACAGAGAAGTGCACCTCTCACCTATCATCAAAACTTTCTTCTGAAGCATGTGGACACTACCATAGAAATTCTCAATTCATCAAAATGTAGAGAATACCTAACGGTGGCGTCCACAGCCCCAATTAATATGTCTGCAAAATAACTCCTACACCCAACAGCATAAGGAACACCATAGAATATGGTTGGTAAAGTTGTAGGAACTGAGGGCTAGGATGACAGCTGTGAGGTCATGTTTTCCATATGATAGTGTAGCTGCACCCATTAAATCTCAGCAGTATGGTCACTTAAACAGGACCAGCACAATGACAACACATCCTAATGTGGAAGGGCAAAATCTCACCCTCATGCTTTTGCCCTCAGATGAAGAGCTACAAGCAATTAATGTTTGCTCAGTAAGGGGAGAATTAGTCTCCCTAATCCCCTCATAGGTTATTCATTCCCAAGTAGTCAGTCTTAAATACTGATACATATAAGCAACACTAAATGGTCTAAGTAGGACTATGATGATGATGATGATGATGATGATGATGATGTGTATGTGTGTGTGATACAGAACAGACCATGGTTTTGAGAATATTGGGGGTATGGGAGGAATGGGACATGAAAAGGGTGAAAAGGGAGTGGTAGAAAAGATGTAAATATAGTATAGATATAAAAAAATGAAGTTAAAATCTTTGTTTCCTTTATTAGTCTCAATGGGTTTTTTTAATTATTGAACTCTATTTTTTATTTTATTTTTAGTTTTACCAGCAAGACAGAACAAAATGTTGAAACTTGTTCTTCCAAATGTTTCCATGCTAAGACAATTTGTTTTGTTTTGTGTTGTTTTGCCTTTGGATGTAACTAGATCACAGCAGATGATCTTACAGATTCTAGAGTCAAATTTTCCAAATAAAATTCTAGATTTTCCTACAGTTAACCAGTACTTGGCTTAACATGTATTTGAGTTTATAAAAATCTTAAGGGAAAGAAGAAGAAAAACCCTCTCAAAGTGAACTGAAAAAGTTAAACCACATGATAAAACCACAAATCAATTCATAGGTGTGAAGTGATCCCCTGCCCTACATTGAACTCGCAGACGTGTGCCCACACATGCCCTCTCTCACACACACACACACACAGCATATCTTTGAACATTTTAGAGAACTTGAAAGTCCCACAATGAGTTTTTAATGTCTCTACAAGATCTTAAAATTTATTGTGTATGTTGAGTGTTTTTATAATCTCGAATTAGTACATTTAAAGGAATCTCAATGAGACAGTTTAGAGATGGAAATACACAGGGAAATTTGTGACAAGATGACTTCTGGGGTCTGTGGAGAAAAGATTATTCTGTCTGGCTTAACCTTTTGCACACATGAACTCACAACGGTTGTGACTGTATGTGTAAGATCTGCACAAGTTTAAGCCAACTCAAATCCTGGACAGAGGGAGGAGGGGCTCATGAAGTCCTACCCCCAGTTGATAATCTAATGGCTGCTCCAGGAGAAGAGTAACCTTTCTTCATGAATGCAGCCCCTCAAAGGCTACCCACGCTTTAATAAATGTTTACACACAGCTGTACATACAGGCATCACTGTAGACTCTGGGTTTACCAAACAAGAGAGCACATGAGGATGGAAGAAAAAGAGTAGTGGTGAATATAGGGAAAAACTGGAAGAGAGGAAGTTGGGTATATATTTGAACAAAGCACATTATATGCATGCATAGAATTATGAAACAAAACATTACAATGAAAGACTTTATTCTGCATAGGTTCATTTGAAAATTTAAAAAAAATGCAGAGACCTTGTTATTATTATTTTTTGCAGTGTGGTCCAGAGAATTCTTTCTGAGAAAATGCAGCAGGTGGGCATCATGAGAGAAGTAAATCAAGGTGGTAAGAAGCTCAAGACGTAAAGGCTTTTGCTGCCAACCCTGAGGAACTGAGTTCAGCCCCTGTGACTGATGTTATAGAAGGAGAGAATGGACTATTGCAACTCATCTGACATCCACTTTCTTTCTATAGTGTGCTCATGTGTGCACATTTGCAAGCATACATGCATGCACACACACAATAAATAAATAAAACTGCAATAAAAACTAAACAAGGAATGAGTTGCCAAACCACATGACATAAATTAAGTAACTGAATATTAAAATTATTCAAAAAATTAAACATACAAGATCGTGATCCTTAATCCACTAAATAAAAATTTGCAGTAAAATTAAATGTTTTGTATTTAGTTAATTAAAATGCTTTTGTTAGCAGAAAGAAAAGGTAAGTTATAGACAGAAAAATAGTTTCAAAAGGCAGATAACATAGGGCTTGTAGCTAGAAAACCGAAAGAAGTCTTAATTTTCAGTAAAAATAGCACATCTAACTAGCTATGAGCAAAAATGCTGAACAGACACTTAAATATAGAAAGCATATAAATATTTTGCAATATATGTCATTAGAGAATTATAAAAATATTACCATAAGCCTATTATTAGAGTAGCTGGAATATAATATGCTGACAACGCAAAATGTTGGTTGGGACACAGAACTATTTGCATCTCGTTTGTTGCTGATGGGAATGCAACTCAGTCCAAACACTTTCACCTCGCTTCCATTCCCTACCTTTCCCTTCTCTTCCCTTTTCTTTCCTTTCCTTTTTTTAATATTTATTTATTATTATAATTTATTCACTTTGTATCCCAGCTGTAGCCCCCTCCCTCATCTCCTCCAATCCTGCCCTCTATGCCTCATCTCCTCCCATGCCTCTCCCCCAGTCCACTGGTGGAGGTCCTCCTCCACTTCCATCTGACCCTAGACTATCAGCTCTCATCTGTGGCCTGGTAAGGCTGCTCCCTATCAGGGGGAGATGATCAAAGAGCCAGCCACTGAGTTCTTGTCAGAGACAGTCCCTGTTCCCCTTACTAGCGAACCCACTTGGAAACTGAACTTCTATGGGCTACATCTGTGCAGGGGTTCTAGGTTATCTCCATGCATGGTCCAAGGTTGGAGTATCAGTCTCAGAAAAGACCCTTGTGCCCAAACTTTTTGGTTCTGTTGTTCTCCTTGTGGAGCTCCTGTCCCCTCCAGGTCTTTCATCTCCCCCTTTTTAGAGTGGATATTAGACATATCATATAGGATAAATATACTAAAAGAAGATAAGCAAGAAGGAGGACCCTGGGTATGATGCTCAATCCTCATTCAGAAGGGCAAACGGGATAGACAGAAGAGGGAGAAAACAGGGAACGGGACAGGAACCTACCACAAAGGGCCTCTGAAAGACTCTACCCAACAGGGTATTGAAGCAGATGCTGAGATTCATAGCCAAACTTTGGACAGAGTGCAGGGAATCTTATGAAAGAAGGGGAAGATTAAAGTCCTTTCCTTTTCTTTTTTTTTCCTTTCCTTTTCTTAACCAAATTAATAATAGGCTCAGCATAGTTGCGAGCTTTTCCATGCCTAGATATTTCCTAAACAATTTGAAAAATAAATCCATGCAAAAACATGCATCCAAATGTTTAAAACATCAGTACTTATTTTTGCTCAAGACTGGATGCAATATTTTTAACAGGTGACCGAATAAACCAATCACTGTTCATTTATACAATGCACCAGTGTTTTTGTTTATTTGTTGTTTTTTTTTTTTTAACAAAGCTTGTGTGGTTTCAGGTGTATGGCCTTTTAGAAAAATCAGTGCTATAGAGTATAAAAGATGGATGGTAGAGCTTTTAAAAGAAGGTAGAAAAAGAGGAGTAGGTAGAACAGAAAACATTTCAAGAGTGGTCAAATTCTTCTATATGACATCAGGTGGATCCTTGATGATCTATAATGAATTTAAGGATTCCAGGGTCTGATCGCTGGTACAAGGTAAAACTACCAGGTGACAGTAGTACATATGGTTACTGTTTGAGTAATCATTTCAGCATTGCACAATAGGAAGCCACACAAAAGGAAGACTTTGAAGAGGCACAGAGGACCAACATCCAGAACCGGATCATGAGCAAGGAATACCCAAGATTTGCCGCAATCATATATCTAACTGGCATCACTCCTTAGCAAATTAGGGAGTGCCAGGCCTATAGAGTCTCAAAGGGTGTCAGTAATTCAGTTTAAAAATCACTGTGGGGTGGTTTCACTTTTGTATTTTTTATTGGGTTATATCCATTTTATATAGGTGGTGGTATCTCAGGGACATGCTCCTACAACTGTATAATATACTTTCACCAAGTTCACTCCCCAGTAAGCCATTAATAATTTTCTTTCTCTTCTTCTGTTGCTGTCTTCATTCCCAAAGTTTGCCTTCTACTTTCATGCCATATACACAAACACTCCACAAGAAGAGCAATAGAGTCAACTAACCTAGGCTCGTGGGGGCTTTAGAGACTGAAGCACCAACAAAACAGCATGTGTGGTCTGCACCTAGGCCCCCAACACATATATAACTGATGGGCAGCTTGGTCTTCATGTGGGTTTCCTAGTAAGTGGAGCGGTGTCTGTCTCTGAGCTTGACTGTATTGCCTGCTTTTGCATCACTTTCCCTAGCTGGGCTGCCTTGTCTGACCTCAGCGTAAGATGATGTGCTTAGTCCTAATGGGACTTGATGTGTTAGGATGTTGGTTGGTATGAGGAGAAGGAGAAGGGGGAATGGGATGAGAAAGTGGGAGAGCAGGGCCAGGAGGAGAGGAGGGAGGGGGCTGTCATCATGATGTAAAGTGAAAAAATAAAAATATCAATTAAAAAAATACAGGACTCACAAATTGAAGAAGACATGCAATGTTTGTTTTACTTTGTCTGGAACCAATTTGCTCAATGTATTAATCTCCATTAATGTATTGAGACCATTTCCCTTCAAATGACATTTTGTTTTACAATAGGGTTGAATATTATTTTCTTCGTGTATTTTTCTACTGATGAACACAAAGATTAGCTCCATAACTACTGTGGAGAGTGCGGCAATAAACGTAGATATATACGTAATGGTGTGATGTGTTGGCTTAGGATCCTTCAAGTAAACACCCAACAGAGGTATAGCTAGATAGTACAGTTGGTGAACTTTGGGGGTTTTCTGATCTTACATGTTGATATCAATGGTGGCTAAACTAATTTAGATTGTGATCAGTAGTGTACAACACACTTTTTCCAGCACACATGCCATTATTTGTTTTCTGAATGATTATCATTCTTATCATGATAGAGGAAATCATAATGTAATTTTTATTTGCTTTTCTCTAATAAGTAAGCATGTTGAACTTTTAAAAGCTATGTTTCTTGGTAATTTGTACTTCATCTTTAGGAACTTTATTTCATTAGCTGGTTTATTGATTGGATTGTTGGATTTCTTATTGTTGTATTTAGTTTCGTGAGTTCTTTATATATTCTATATATTAGTCCTCTGTCAGATGTAGACTTAGCAAAGATTTTTCTTTTATACTGTATGGCATTCACTCTTTTATAACTGTTTTCTTTCCTGTACAGAGACATTTTAATTTCATGCAATCTCATTTGTCAGTTTTGTGCATTGTTTCCTAAGCATTTAAAGTTGTATTTAGAAAGTCCTTGCCTATGTGTATAACTCATAAAATTTTCATATTTTCCATCTGCTTCAGAGTTTCATGTCTTAAATTAAAATACTTCCTATATTTGTAACTGGTTTTATACAAGACAAGAAATGGGCTAGAGTTTTTAACATTCTACACATGCAAATGGTTTTCTCATCACCATTTGTTTAAAAGCTCTCTTTTCTCCATATCTTCTTAATATATTTTTATTTATTACAGTTTTTTACTTTGTATCCCAGCTGTAACTCCACCCTCATTCCCTCCCAATCTTACCCCCCTTTCCTTTCCTCCCTCCCTCATCTCCTCCCATGCCCCTTCCTCAGTCCACTGATGGTGGATGATCTCCTCTCCTTCCATCTGACCGTAGCCTATCAGGTCTCATCGGGACTGTCTTTCATAGTCTTTCTCTGTGGCCTGGTCAGGCTACTCCCCCCTCAGGGGGAGGTGATCAAAGAGCCAGCCAGTGAGTTCATCATAATGTCTCCATATCTTTAGTTGTGAGAATTTATCTCTATATTCTGTTCTGCTGATCACATGTTGGTTTTTGCATTCTATCCACAACCTGGAATCAGAGAGGAATGAGTTCTTGTGCTCATCTCACTTTCTCTTTTTCATACAGTCCAGGATCTCACCCTAGAGAATTGTGCCACCCACAGTAAATAGGTCTCCCCATATCATTTCACCCACTTATTATAATCTGCTACAGGTGTGCCTTAGAGGCTTGTCTCACAGGTAAGTCTAGATTTCATTAAGTTGGCAAAAAGGCCTATAACACTTTCTTTTTTGGCAAACTTGATATTGATAAGGCTCATGAGTGAAGTTAGAGATTTATACCTGCCCTCGGTGTTACCATATGAAGAAGGCACATGATAACAAATCTGTAAATAAGTAGTCTTGCAGCATCCATTACACCTGCAATAAAAAAAGCAAATTCATCATCAGTGAAATCATGGGTAAGAAGATGCAGAAATCAGATAACCCACATTTGTCTAAAACAATTGTCTCCCAGTTACAGCTGGCTTCATCGTTTCATTCCAGGCAAACAACAAATGCATTTTAAGAGAAGCATTTACTTTGTGATATTCAACATTCCAAAATTTTATTAGCACATCTGACTTTCATGTTATGAATGCTCAATATATTATTTTTATGGGATTGTCTTCCCCAAGGCTTGACTCAATATTATTTTCTGGTTTTGCAAACTCCATCAGGCTCTTTTCTTCTCCAAAGATGATGAAAACGGGAAACAGCTACAGATTTTTAAAGCCTCCATTAGTGAAATCCTTTGACACGTTTATTGATAGCTACTTATAAAAAATTAAAGACATTTATCCTCATCATATGATACAGATTAAATAACCATTTTTAGTTAGAAATAACTTCATTCCATGACATTTTAAGAACCCCACAGAATTTTCTGTTAATGAAGAATTCATAATTAGAGACATGTCTGTGACCTTTACTCTTCATTGCAAAGTCAAGGGGAAGATTATAATATATTTCTCAGTTAAATATAAAAGATTTTCATAAGTTATATTTGATAGGTAACTCTTGAAACAGGTATAGGAGTTGCCTGTTTCCAGTCTCAAAGAAATACTTACTAGGTTCTGATATTATAAAAAAACAAACAGTTAAATAGTGACAACAATATAAAAATACTATAATACCTTGTTTACTTGGGTAAATTTATCTATATTCTTGCCTTACCAAAATGGTATATCTACATTTTGAGTAATGGCCTGTGGTTCTTACATATCATAAAGGCAATGAGGACATACATTAGATGCCATATGTACAATTGCTTTTGAGCAATGCAGAGTTGAGCAAAATATGGAAAAATTGAAGAGTGGGGCTGGAGAGATGGCTCAAGGCTTAAGAACACTGGCTGCTCTTCCAGAGAACCCAGGTTCATTTCCCAGCACCCTTGAGCCATTTCTCCATGGCAACTTCCCTTACATCCTCCTGTGAGATCAGTGAACCTTCTTGAAAGCTGCCTCCCACCAATAAACTTGCCTTTATAAACTCTAATTTGGCATTAATTGGCTCATTTCATTGGTAGAGAACACCTATTAGCACTGGCCCAATGAAATGATATAGAAGATTTAAGCATTAGTACATACCTGACGTTTTACAAAGAGGAAAACTTAAACCCTGGAGTAAAAATAGAATCTTCAACAAGTGGTACTGGATGTCCTCATGTAAAAGAACAAAAATGTATCCATATCTATCACTTTGCATCAGAATTAAAACCAAGATCAATGACCTCAATTTGAAACTTGAAATGCTATAACGGTTCAAAGAAAACATGGGCAGTATCCTGCACTGTTGTAAGGTTGTTGAGCTATATATTATTTATTATTAGTCCTGTGATTATCACAGTGGTATTATTTAACGTGCTATCATGAATAATAAGACACAAACACCTATTAGGTTTACAATTGCTTTATTTACCTTGAGAATGTGAAAAAACTGGAATCCTCATTCACTCTTTGTTCAACGGCAAACTGGTACAGCCAGTGTGGAAAATTCTTTAAATATTTAAAATAAATCTACCATATGACCAAGTCCTTGGCATGTGTTCAAAGTACTTAACCACATATAGCACAAACACTTGCCCAACAATGTGCATTTCCATCCTATTCACAATTATCTAGAGAATGGGAACAACCTAAATGTCCTTTACCATACCAATGGCTAATGAAAATGTGGTATATACAAACTACAGAATATTATTCAGTGTAAAGAAAAGTTAAAAATTAAACCATGACTTTCAGGTAAACAGATGGCACTAGAAAGAACTAACACCTATTCTCAGAGAGACAAATATCATGTTCTCTCTTCATCTGAGGTTCCTAGCTCCAAATCTCCAAGCCTAGGGAAGCTTCAGAAACAAGAAGAAAAAGACCGTGGCAGGGGCTAGAGAGGGTAATAGAAGTATACAAATGATATGAAAGGGAAGATGGAAAAATGAGAGGGGAATTTTAAACAGGAAAGGGAGAGAGCGGTCAATAAGAAAGAGTCAGGTGGTGGAGAAAGGATAAATGACATTAAGAATGTTTGAAAAAGCCCTGAGGAATCATACTATTTTATGTTTACCTAAAACTATAAACAATATATATCTATATTATAGCTATCCCTTAAATGAAGATTTGCCACATGAGTTGACAAGTCTTTCCACAAGAGCCATAGAGCATCTAAGAAAAAAAAACCAGCACCAGACATGAGAAACTCATTCTCAGTTGTTAGCCAGGGAAGTCCAAGAGTCCCAAAACAATATAGGCTATTACTGTTTCTCTTGGTTGTCTCCCAGAAGTTGAAAGTAAATCCTTATTGCTGGAGACATCATTTATTTTAGACACATGATTCATAACACTTGAGCAGGATCCAACATGAATACCTCCACCCTGTAAACTTACTGAGAGTGCCAGAAGATGCTATGCAAGGTTTCAGAGGAGATAACAATCAATGCTCCTATCCAGCCCTGATACCAATGAACCATAATCATGATTAGCATGGAAAAACATTGCAAAATGTACAACAGTGGCACTCATATCTTGGTACTAGATATGATAACTTGGTACTAGAACCAACTGCCCAGGGTTGTTAGATGAGAATATACCACTGCCACTTCACAAGACCAGCAGAATACATAACTGCATTTTAAATATGTATTTCTATACCATAGATGAGTGTAGGTCTCATGCTTTTCCTTGCTGCAGAGGAAGACCATTGCAGAAAAATATAACTGGTCAAAATACATAGAGCAACTGATCAGGGGGGCCCATTCCCAGTAGTTACATCTATATCATGACTTCTATATCCAAGGTCCAGAGAACATTGTAGAAGAATGAGTGGAAGTACTACAAGAACCAGAGCATCTGCTGTGAGATTATGTTTCCTAGAAATGACAGAGAAGCTATACCTTTGATACCACAACAATATGGATGCCTAAACGAGACCAGAACAATGACCACACCAATAGACATGCCGTTGTGGAAGGGAGAAATCTCCCAAAGATCCACCTCTAGATAGAGAAATACAGGCAACTAATGAATACTGAGAAATAAAAAGAATTAGTCTTCTCTGAGGATGAGCTTCATAATTGGTTATTCAATACCAAGTGGTCAGCCGTCAAATCATATACATACAAGCAGCAGTCAATGGACGTAACAGATTAAATTTTTACGTATACATATATGCATATACACACATAAATATACGTAATAATCAAAGAAAAAGAAGCCATGGATTTGAGATGAAGTAAGGGGTGTGACATAGGAGGGATTAGAAGAAGGAAAAGGGAGAGAGGAAATTATGTGATTATGTTTTAATTTAAAAAACCATTTATGTTGCGTTTTAATCAAAATTCAAGAATATGTCATAAACAGTTATGTCGTGCTTAAAATAAAATTATAACAGAAAAAAGTGATGAGTTATAAATCTGTGTACACAAGCTTTACTGTTTTGGTTGGCTGATTATGATCTGTTAGATTTTGCTCTCTTAAATTTTATAATTTCTTTTTGCTTTAACATTTCAAGTTCTCTTTAACAAAATGAGTGCAATGAACTTTTTGTGGTTTACCGGGAGATTATTTTATTTTTAAAATATTTATTTTTATATTTTATGTATGTGTTCATGTGTTAGTATACACGTGTGCATGTGTGTTCCCATGGAGGCCAGGAGAGTGTCAGAGCCACAGAAACTAGAGTTACAAGTGGTTGTGAACCATCAGGTGTGGGTGTGGGGAAGCAAGTTTGTGTTGTCTGTCATACCACCAAGCACTCTGGACTGTTGAGCCATCTTCCCAGCTCACCAGTAGGGTAATGTGCCATCCTCAAATCAGAGTAGTAGCAATTACATTTCCTTAATCTTGGAAACCTTCAGACTTTGCTCTTTCAGATATTTGAAAAACATAATAAATCATTGTAAGGAGTACTCACACTAATAAAGCTTATTCTTCCTAAATAACTCTATTTTGATACCTACAATTAAGCCTCCCTCTAACCTACATTAGCACTTTTTCTTTTCTGCTTTTAGTGACAACTACTCTACTTTCTCCTATAAAATTAACTTCGAAACTTTCATAGATGAGTACGAATATGCATACCTTATCTTTCCTTGATGGACTATTTAAGAGAGTAGAAAAAAATAATCAACCTTATTTATAAAAGTGCATCACAAATATCTCACAACAATGCCTATCTCTTTTATTTTCTGCTTTTCTTATTCATAACTGTCTACAATAAAGAAGTACTGGTTACAAAGAAAATTATGGGGATGAAACCAGTCTTTCAACTGTGTGACTAAGAAACTAACAGAAAATAAATATATTTTTCTCTTTACTTAACTTTAAATTCCATAAGTTGAGCCAATATTTGCCAAGTCTCTCTACAACAGAAGAAATGCATAAGGAAAACGCAAGAAAACCATTTCCCAGAGGTTATTAAAACCCCATCCTCTGAACTTTCAGATCTCAGCAGCCTTCAAGCACAGGTCTGGAGCCTCCCCAGAAATGCAAGGACAAGAATATTTACGAGGCTCAAGTAACAGAAAATGATAGAAGAGACATTTTATAAATAGACTTGTAGGTACAGAATTCTACTAAATCCTGACACTTACTTGAACCTGATGGTTACAAGTCAGCTCTCCACTGTTCTGACAGACAATCCCAGTCGAGTCACCTGGACTTCTGACAATGTTCAAGTGTTTTGGTTTTATCCAGCGGAAGATGTGCCAGAATCAGATAGGGACCAGGTAAAGCCTAACCATGGATGACTCTTCCGTCCTCAAATTCTGGCTGTATGTTTCTGCCAGCCTGATAATTTGTTCTCTTTTGCAGAGAAATTCTTAGCGGACTGCTTGCATCAACTGACAAGTGAAACCTTTGTTCAGCTTGCATCTCGTACTGCTTAAGTATTAAAAAGGTTCCTGTCACACAAGGAAGGAAGAAAACAAAATCTGACTCATCCCTGACATGCACTGAGTGCTGCCAAAAAAAAAAAAAAAATTACAACTAATATATTTGTCACGGCAGAAGACTCAGTTTATGAAAGCACAGCGGAAGACTGGGAATTCAGCCTTCAGAGAGCAGACAATGGCTACCAAGAATTTTTTTTAAGTTTTTTTTTTTAATGTTAGTTACAGTTTATTTACTTTGTATCCCAGCTGTATCCCTCTCCCTCATTCCCTCCAAATCCCAACCGCCCTCCTCATCTCCTCTTTGCCCCTTTCCAAAGCTACCAAGATTCTTGAAACAAAATAGCCAGTTACTCCCATGAAGCAAAGGAGCTCAGCAAACTTCCAGAGAACCAGAATAATCTAACAAAATGTGAAGGATTCAAAGCACATAGTTTATAATGATGGTCTAGGAGAGAGGTTGGGGAGGTACAATGAGAGATGAACTGCAGAAAGTAAAAATATAAACTTATGAAATGACTGTTTTAAAAGTATATGTCTGAATATATACATATATTGTATACATATGTGTTATAAATATATACATATATATTTTATATACATATATGCTTCTAAAATTATATATATGCACACACATAAACATATAATACTGTATTAGTTACTCTTCTCATTGCTTTGACAGAATACCTGATATGAAATTTAAGAGAGTAAGAGCTTTTTGCCTGTAATAGGTTATAAAAGCACTTGTAAAAGTAATCATGTACACATATTTGTGAATATTTACAAAAATAATCACATATAAAAATAATCACATATATTTATTCATGCATATTCACAAATATAAAAGTATAAGAAAAATGAATGTGTGTTTATATGCATAGATAATCATGAATATAAATTTAATGTGTATTAACGATAATGCATATCTGTATGTAGTTTTGTGTAAATAATTCGTGCATGCACACAAACACACTCCCAGAATATGCACATATTAGTGCTACTCAGGTTGATGTTACCAAATACCTGATAGAAACCAAACTGAAGGAATGATTTATTTTGTCTCACGGTTCCGAAGAAAGTGCATCACAGTGTGGAAGCATGCTGATCTGGCAGGATCCTGGGGCTTGTGGCCACACTGTGATCAATGTCATCAAGCAACGTTGAAGGAATGCTGGCACTCAGTCTGCTTTCTCCTTTTTATTATTTTAAAAATATTTTTAAAATAATATTTTTATTTAGTCACTTATTGTAGAACTTCATACAACATATTTTAGTTTATTTTTAATTAAATTTTTATTTTTTAAAACTAGTTACAGTTTAGTAACTTTGTATCCCAGCTGTAGCCCACTCCCTCATTCCCTCCCAATCCCACCCTCCCTTCCTCATCTCCTCCCTGCCCTTTTCTAAGTCCTCCTCACCTTCCATCAGACCCTAGCTTATCAGGTATCTTCAGGACTGGCTGCCATGTTCTTCTCTGTGGCCTAGCAAAGCTGCTCCTCCCTCCAGGGGAGGGGTAAAAGAGCCAGCCACTGAGTTCATATCAGAAACAGTCCCTGTTTCCCTTACTAGGATACCCACTTGGATACTGAGCTACCATGGGCTACATCTAAGCAGGGGTTCTAGGTTATATCCATGAATGGTCCTTGGTTGGAGAATCAGTCTCAGAAAAGACCCCTGTGCCCAGATATATTTGGTCCTTGTGGAGCTCCTGTCCTCTCCAGGTCATACTAACTCTCCCTTTTTTCATATGATTCCCTGCACTCTGTAGAAGGTTTGGTTATGAGTCTCAGCAACTGCTTTGATACAGTGATAGGTAGAGGCTTTCAGAGGCCCTCTGTGTTAGGCTCCTGTCCTGTTACTTGTTTTCTCCTACTTCCAATGTCCATCCCATTTGTCTTTCTTAGTAAGAATTATTTTAATAATATTTATTTCCCCTCCACTGACTTCTCCAGTTCCCTTCATATTTCCCTGCATGCTACCCAATTTCATGTTCTCTTACTAAAAATGAAAAAGTCCAGTTCATGTTGACTGACTGCTTCTTGATTTGAGGCCTTCCTTGGAGAGTGGTTGATATGTTTAGTGTCACTCCATTGGAGAAAACTGAGTTTCCCTTTCCTTGCAGCTCTCAATTGCTAATATCTTCTTGGGTATGGGTAGAACTTCATCTCCACTCGTTCATGATGGAATTCTGTCTGGACTGAGCTAGTGCAGGTTTTCCACATATTGTTATAGTCTCTGTGATGTCATATGTACATTGACCACTCTCCAACCACTGATGTCCCTCAGTGGAGGAATGGATGCAGAAATTATGGTACATTTACACAATGGAATACTACTCAGCAATTAAAAACAAGGATATCATGAAATTTGCAGGCAAATGGTGGGGTCTAGAAAAGATCATCCTGAATGAGGTATCCCAGAAACAGAAAGACATGTAAATATATTTATATGATTTCTGCAATAAGGTTTATTGTTAAGCTCTGGAGTATAACCAATAGCACTGACTATAGCCTGTAGTGTTGGGAGGTCTATGGGACCATATTGACAAACAATTAAAATAATATATAAGCTATTCCTGGCGCTGGAAGTGATATTTGGTGGCATAACATAACTAGTTGGAGCATTGTCTTTCTGTTATGTGATAACTCCATTTAAATTTTTTCACATATGTATATATACTTAGGAAGCTACTATGGTAGTAGGTTTCCATATGTTTTTTTTTCAAAAGGACTGTAGTGCTCTTCCTCTTTATCCTCTTCTCTCCAAACCTCCTCCCCATTTATTCCTCTTATTCTTGTTTCTCCATTATTTTTCAATAACACTATATTTTATTTCTTTTTCATTGGGTATCTTCTCTTCCTTTTGGTATCTTACTACATAAATAATCTCTACTGGTTATTAGCTTGGCATACCTTTAGCTTGGTATATCTTTTTTTCATTCTATTACTCTAAGGTTGTGGTTTTCCTTGATGGTGAGGTGTGTTTCTTGGATGTAGAAGAATGATAAATCCTGTTTTCTAATCCAAGTCTGTGTCTTTTTATCTGAGACATTGAGACAATTAGTGTATG